TCAAAAACAGTGTCCCAGCATGTCAGCAGAAAGGACCGCGACAGCATGCTCGGCCCTCTAAGAAAATGCTGATAATCAAATGCGACGTTAAGGGTCCCTTAGCGATCGGATTGACCCGACAAATGGACATACCGGCCCCGGCAACAGCGTAGGGCCTACGGACAGCGTGACGAGCCTCAAAGTCGCCCTCAATCATCATCCTCTCAGCCATTACTCATCACCCAATGCTTCTTTTTGTCTGCTCACGGGTCTTTCACTTTCGCTTGCGACTGTTCTTCGTCGCCTGAAGGCCCAAACATTCCCAATTTTGTTGCATTTGTTTTAGAACACCGCGCCCATTCGGCCAGTTTTGGGCCCCTTCGAAACCTATGGGCCCCCCCTTGGGACCCAGGGGGGCATAATTCCGTGGCTCCCTCTCTGGATCCGCCACTTGCCAGAGCAGGGGACGGGGCCCAAACAACACCGTAGAGCCCTTCAAGCAAAGGAGAAGTATCGAGACGCCTGAAATGTTGAGCGCTCAAAAGACCGAATGTGCCAGGGCGGGTTAGCAGATGGGGCATCCGATAAGAGCACAGGACTCTTCATTCAAGTAGGAAAACCCAAGATTCATTGTGGGGGGGGGGGGGGGTCGGCAGATCAACGGATGGGGTCCCCCGACAACAATGTACGGACATTAAAACAAATGGGAAATACCCCAGACCCAATGTGGAGGCCCCCGAACGACTGAGTGTGCGCGAGCAGGTTAACAGATGGGCCTCCGACAAGAGCGCAGCCCCCCCCCCCCCCCGCAAGTGACAGGAATCCGGAACGGCCCTAGAACAATGAAGAGCGCCAATAAGCATATCGCATGTGTGTCGGTACTCGGCAGGAGCCTGGCTAGACGGCGCCGTGTCAGACTCCGAGCTCGATGTCGGATTCCAGCGACACGCCTGGTTCCGCCGAGGTCGTGGGTCTGTAGGTGGTGGCGTGGTATGTGCTGTCTGCACAGGGCTGCTGCCGCTGCGCCTGCCAGACCCGGACCACAAAGATGCCGCTGATCCGGCTGCGGGATGTATCGGTTACTCTGGCCGTGTGTTACCGCCCTCCCAACGACGACGCTGTAATTGACCGAATAGCTGCTGCCCTTTCCACAGTGAAACCAAAGAACCGCAGAGCCGTCGTCGTTTAAGATTTCAACCTCGCTCAAATATATTGGACTTCGGCGGCAGGCGGCGCCGCTCCCGACCTGTGGACAGCGTCGAACCGTGCCAGCACATTCGTCGACACGTGCCGCTTGCTGGGTCTGAAACTGTGGGTCTACCCAGGCCACTAGGGTAGGGAACATTCCGGACCTAGTGCTATATCGCATGCCGTCGCAGGTCGATGTGCAAAACGGTCTTCTGAGCTCAGATCACCAAGATACCATTGTCATTCTCAGTGCGCCGGCAAGCGGTCCGCCTGTGGCCAACCGGCGCACTGCGCTCAACTATAAGAGACCTAACTTCGACGGTGGCGCCGGAGTCTATCCCTGACCCCGTAGGGCTGCTGGATGACGTCGAAGCTGACCAAGCAGTTGACACCTCCCACGTACCGCTTGAGCTGGCCATGATCGACCACGTACCCGCGGCGATCCTCCCGCGCCGCGCTCTCCAGCTAAACGAGGCAGGTTTCCGATGACCTGCGGAGAAACTCCAGCCCAGCGACCACGGCTGAGTTTGTGAACCGGAAACGTCATTTGACGCCAGTGCCCAAATCCTAGTACTCTTAATATTTACATAAACCACCGACGACTTCAAAACTAACCGCAAGCGGTACTGGTGTTTTTCGAAATGTGCTGCGAAGAAATCATGCATAGCACCGGTCTTGTATAACTCCGAGCGGACTCACGTGTCGGGTGACATAGCTGGCGATGTCGCGCTGAATGGCTCGTTCGCTCTGAAATTGGCTAATGATCGTGCGCCAAACCCTCCAGATGCTCTATACTGCTTAGTCTAGTCCATGAGCCAACTGACGGTCTCTGAGGCACCTGTGCGATCGGCGATAACTATGGTCGGTTCCATCACGGCCTGTGAGACTGGCGATATCAGTTCTCACTTAACCGCCGAATGCACGGACGAGTCCGGTGAGCTCAGCTCACCAGCCCACCAGTGAGCCGCCCAGCTCACCAAGATTTGTACTCTTTTGGTTGGTGAGTTCTGGTATCTGCCCGGGGATGGTGAAAGCAAGCAAGCATCGCATCACTTTTCAAGAAAGGCGACAAAAATGAGTCGTCAAGTTACGGAATAATATCCCGGTTTCCTCTCTTCGGGGCAAACTGGAACGGCTTACGTATGATGAGTCCCGCTATGTCTCGCCTGTACTGCGCCCTCATCAGCATGGCTTATTCCTAGACGCTCGTGCAGCGCAAACTTCCATGTTTACATTCAGTCGGCTTGGGAGGCCATTTCGGCCGGATACCAGACGGATGCCATGTGCAATGCATATTCAGCTGCTTTCCAGACCGTTAACCTGCGCCTGAACGCGGAGATTGACTTACCCCCCCCCCCGCCCCCCTCGGATCTCCAACTTTCAGACGTCGTATGAGAACAAAAAGATACCGTTGCAAATGTGTCGTCAAATTATGACGAATGCACATCAAAGTTGTTTGACCTTAAGTCAACTGTGAGGTTAACAGACGTCATGAAATGCCAAGAGAGGTCGTTCTGATAGGTGCGGTTAAAACCCATGTTAACACGCGCTCGAGTGGGGGTCAACTTGCCGCCCCCCCCCCCCCCTGAAGTTTTTCCAGCATGTTTTCCGAACGGCGCGGTGCAGCCGCGCCAAATTTTGCACAGCTGTAGGCAATTGGATAGCGTATCGTGGCAATAAATTTAAAGGTACTTTGTAAGGTCACGGAACAACGGCAGGTCAAGGTCAGGCCATGGATTCTGCGAGATCAATTTCTAGAGAATCGTTCAATCTGATGCATCAACGAGTGTTAGACGATTCATCTCTGAGATACTTTCTTAGGTAACGCAACAACTGACGCCCGTATCCGTTTTAGAGCCATCCGTATATGTGATTTTGTGTCCCTGATGCGTTTTCATATGTTGTAAGGCTGTAGCTCTAGTAACACGTGGTACCACATCTTGTTTCCAAGCCTGCACCGAAGACACGCCGATGGCTGTCGACACTAGCGTCCATGGAGAGGCTGGCAGGCTGGATGGACGCGTCACACCCCGGAGACTCAATCCACGCCCACGACGGGCATCATAAACACGCTGGCAAGAACGCTCGGCGCTCCGTGTTTGGTCACCGTGGGAAAGATTTAATGTTTTGCGTTAAAACATAGCACTATGTATTGGATGATCCGGGAGTTGCGCCAGTTTGTTAGCGTACCGTAATCCTAACAACTTCCTACCGATCGCTAGCGACGGTTCATTGGCTTCAACGACCAAGCTAGCTGCTGGAGACATCCGAAAAGCACCAGTGATAACTCAACCGCAGTATGATGTACCGTATTTAAGGTATTTTAACATAATTTGAGGCACCGGCATGTGCAAAACCGCCATAGTCAAGCTTGCAGCGTAACAAACAGTGGTACAATAATAAAACACGTTTTTCTGTCAGCCCGTAAGATGCTCGCGCGATACATTTCAGAATGTTCAGAAATTTTAACCAGCTTTCGCTAAGAGTTTTAACATGCTGACAGTACGTGAAATGGCTGTCAAGTTGCATTACGAGAAAACGCGCACTTGCTTCAGATGGTATTTGCTTGCTGGAACATTTCCGACGTCGGCAAAAGCGTACACCTTGTGTCTTCGCCGACGATAACTGGAGTCCGTTGAGCGTTTCCCGTGCTCCAGGCACCCCCTTCGGAGCCTATCATGGGATCCTATGGAGCCCAAGTGAGGAGGGGCATAGCCCTGTGGCCCCCTCTGGAGCAGCCACTGAATGTGGAACGGTCGTTTTAAAAATACGTTTCGTTCCTTGTTGAGTGCAATATGCTGAACAGCGCTCACGCAGACACGAATCCTGGCACTCGCCCCTGCTTGTGAACGGCGAACTTTGGCAGAGAGGCTCGCACGGCCAGTATTTCGGGGGAACACTGCTCGCCCACTGTGTACATGCATGTCTTCTACTTGTTGACGATTCCCTGTTTTGTGTCTGAAAAGATAAAATGCCTTGTAGCTGCATCGCTTGTGTATAGCGCGGTACACATATATGCATAGTTTGGGCATAAGCATGCTGCTTAGCTTTATGACCCGGACATTCTTTCCCGCCAGAGGCCTCCGGTTTCGCCCCAACCGCTACACATTCGGCACTACTTGAAAAGGAGTTAGTAAGTGAGCCAGTCACACTCCGTCAACATGCTGCACGATCAATCCTTTATGGTACCAAAAGGATTTTACCCCAGAAATGTCGTGCTTCACAGCGATTGTCAAAAGACACATGTGAGTCTAAAACAACAAACATGCATTATGTTCATACTGTTGGTAGATACACTCTTGGTTGCGTACGCCTGCAATGCCGCCTTTTGGAACTAGAAGGCATCAGTCATCCTGCAGCAGTCCAACGTAGCTACATGTCAAAGATGGCTTCGTCATTAGCACGGCGACACTCAGCTGTTTCTACAGAGGCTTTGTGCTATGGTGGGGTAATAAGTTGGAGGGAGGGCTTAGCGTCATTAACGCGTTTTCGTCATGATGCTGCGTCACTAATGCGTTTTCGTCATGGTGCTGCGTCAGTAACGCGTTTTCGTCATGATGCTTATAGGATAAAAGACGGCAGAGAAATTGGTGGCAAACTTATCGCAAATGTTCCATTTGAATCAATACAGAAGTGCCCGTGCACTTAAAATGCTATATAGTCGCTCGGGAACTTCATAGAGTATTTATTTAATCATTGTGCGTGCGTGCGTGTGTGCGTGCGTGCGTGCGTGCGTGCGCGCGCGCGCGTGTGTGTGTGCGTGTATGAGAGAGAGTGAGAGAGAGAGAGAGAGAGAGAGAGAGAGAGAGAGAGAGAGAGAGAGAGAGAGAGAGAGAGAGAGAGAGAGAGAGAGAGAGAGAGAGAGAGAGAGACCAATTGTTCGAGAAGTTATCTCGTGTAACGATATACTACAAAGCGCACTTCCGAGCTTCACAGAGCACGCATTTCAGTTATCTACGACACTTCTCGATGCGACGAGATCCGAAACTGGAGCTCTGCTCCTGACAACACTCAGGACAGTGGTGTTGATAACACGATACGGGCAAGGACCACGAGGACCTTCAATTGTTTACGAATGTCATGCGAAGCCTTCAGTTTAAAGATCAGTGGCCTGTCGTTTCCCGCTCTTGGAAGATTTTGCTCCATATTCGGACCATTGAGGCTTCACTCCGACCTATTGGGCATTGCGATTGAGCAGCGGGGGGAACGAGACTCGAAGTACACCCTGAACGCCTGGATGGCCGACGCTGTGGCAACCAACAGCGTCCAGCCGGCCAGCGCTGTTGTCATCACCGGAAAGCTTGATGCGTCGATGATCATGCCACCCGCAGTGGGCCCCACCACATTGCCCACTGAGAACACCGTCCAAAATACGCTGGACACGAACGACTGTGTAACAACCGTATTTTCGAGTCCGCCCGCCAGGCAGGCCTTGAAGATCTTGTTGAAAAGCGGGATGAAGGTTCCGCCCTGCGAGATTTCCTTAACGGTCAGGCCGACTCCGAGCAGCCACCAGGAGGGGTGCAGACCGTACAGCAGCGGTGACGGCGCCAGCAGCAGCAGCCCGAGTGCCGCGCCCACCAAGCAAGGCGTCGTCAGCGCGTAAGTGTTGTGCAGGGAGTCGTGCACCCGCCCCCAGGCCGCGCAGAAGACGGTGAAGGCGCCGGTGGCCACCAGGAAGTAGAGCCCCAGCTGCGCGGGCGTGATGCCGATTGCGACGAACACGTACGGCTCGATGCTCGGGTCGATGGCCGTCCAGTTCATGGAGACGGTCAGCAGCATCACGCAGCACAGCCAGACCTCGGCGGAGCCGACCAACACGCGCAGCATGGGCCAGAGCCGGCCCGTCTGCCGCACCGGCTTGCACACGGACGGCATGAGCAGCGCCGTGAGTCCAGCGCACGTCAGCATCAGCACGCCGAGCACGTAGAACGGCAGCCCATAGCCGCCCAGCTGGTACAGGCCGCCGCCGATGGCCGGACCGAGCGAGATGCCGACGCCCGTCATCGTCTCAGTGATGCCGACGGCCGTGTTGGTGCGCTCCAGGAACTTGTTGGCGACGACGGTGAGCGCGGCCGTGTTGAGCGCGCTGATCGCCACCGCCTCCACCACGCGCGTCACGAAGCAGGCGGCGATGAAGGCGCGCGTGTCGCCGATCATCGGCAGCACGCCAAACGCCACGGTCGAGACGCCGGCCAGCGCCAGGCCGAGGCTGTAGCTGCGGCTGGCTCCGACGCGAGGCACCAGGCGGCCCGTCAGCGGATACACCACCAGCTGTGTCAGCGCGAAGCAGCTGAACACGGCGCCTGTCACCGTCTGCGAGACGCCGCGCTCGCGTGCCTCCAGCGGGAAGAACGGGATCATCAGGGCCACCAGACAGCCGCCCATCAGACTGCCGGAGCACAGGCAGGCCAGCAGCACCTTCTGCTCGCGACTAAACGACGGGGACGAGCCGGTAGCGTCGGACGGCCCGGCGTCCGGCGGTGGCTCGCGCTTCGCACACGCCTCGTAATCGCTATCGTGGAGGCGCCCCAGCAGCCTGGTCCGGTCGCTCACGCTCTCACCATCACTCGTCGTCATGTTCGTGTTGAGACGAGTCTCCCGCCGCTCGTCGCTTTGTTCTGCTCGTCGTCGCGGCTATGCTGTCACTGGGGACAGCTGCTGCACACTGCGTGCCCGTTGGCTCCTGTAGCACCTGCTGGCCGAGCGCCGCACAGCTCCCGGCGCGCCTAGCTCACTGCGCGCCCAGCACTGGCCGGCGCCCGAGCAGGTTTGACCGTCACACAGCGGCGGCCCCATTGCCCGCGGCCGCCAGGGGCGGAGTCAGCGACAGTACTGGGTAGGCGTGGTCCGACTGGAGATGCTCACCGTGACGCAGGGGCTCCGCACGCGCCGACGGACGCTCGTCTTGTGTCCGACTCAGCAGTGGCAGCAGCGGACGATGTGACCGACGCAGCGCCACGATCTGAGCCCGCCGCTGCCGCCCACTTCACGACTTGCGGCTTCGGCCCACCACACGGTGCGGACAGGTGCCGACGAGGGAGAAGCCCCGTCGTGTCACTAGCTATCTTGTTTCTGTGCACTTATTCCCAACAAATAACATGTTTCAAGACTTCTGCGATAGTGTGGGGAGTGGAAACAGTGGCATGTGTCCAGAAAAATGTGCTGGTCGTCGCACGATTAGAGACAGGTAGTTGGATCCATCACAAACCTGAGCATATTTCCTGAACCGTCAGGAGCACATTGGCATAATTGCACAAGGCCATGGGCCCTGACCTTTGCCAACTTCCTACCATACCCTATCTGCGGACATTTGTGCGACCTTGCCCTGGGTATATGTTATCGACGTCCAGTCTGAGCTAACAGCCGCCGGAGACATCTGCAGGCGTGCTGAACGGCTGACATAGTACTCTATCGTGGCCGCAGATCGGCCATCCGATAAGCCCCGGTATGCACGTTTTTCAGATGGTTTGCAAGGTAGCAATGTCGTTTGCATAAAACTGAAGGACGGAAAAAGCTTGATGAACTGAGATGCGGACGGCGGCCCCGCGGACAGTCTGAGGCCAAGTACGCTGTGAAGCCCAGCGTCGTCACTGTCGTGGCGTTGGAAGGTGGTCTAATGCGGTAGAAGGATTACAGGTAGATGGTGACGGTGTGCTAGATTCTTGATTGTAACGCATGGGTGTCGATTTATATTATTTTGGGTTGGCCGCTATGTCCCCCTCCAGTCTAATTACCCCTCTCCAACGGTGAATTTGGTAAAACATCCAAGGTCATCTTTTAGGGTCAAAGTCACACTCACAGGACCGGGAACGCTAAATCACCAACCGATTTTATCTTTTCAAGCATCAGAATACTGCCCAGCGCAGGAACTGGTGCCAGTCAAAACGTCTTGAAGTCTCAAGGTTACCTTTCAAGGTAAATACCATGCTGAAACGGTACGGGGAACCTTATATCACCAGACATTACAGGAGGATTTCAAATGGTCAAGCAGCAGAATATTCGTCAGCGCAAAAACCAGCATCCGTCAAAATACCCTGAAAACTTAAGATCAACTTGCAAGGTCAACCTCGCGCCCAGAGCAGTGGGATCTCCACATCACGAAAAAAACACAGCATGTTTCAAAATTTCAAGCATCAAAACTTCGCCAGAGCAGGAAGTAGCGTCGGTCAAGAAGTCCCAAAGCTCATTCCACCTTTCCAGGTCAAATTCCCGCCCAAAGTACGGGAGTTCTATATCACCGAAATACTACCGGCGATTTCAATTCTTGAAGCATCAGAATCTTCCCCAGTGGAAAAACTAGCGTCCGTAAAAAAACGTTTCGCAATGTCATCCTCTGAGGCCAAATTAAGGCTCAAATGACGCGGAACTCGTTATGACCAAAAACATGCAATTCGATTCCGGATTTTTAAGCACCGGAATGATCGTTAGCGCATGAACTAGATTAGGTGTTACATTCCTAACCTCTCAAGGTCACCCTTCAAGTTATGATTCAGGCACAGAGTGCGGAGAACTGCATTCATAAAAAACGGCTAAGTGTGGATGTTTAACGACCATGATACTCAGAAGCTCACGAACCATCGTTGGTCAAAAAGCCCTAACTTGAAAGTCACTGTTCAAGGTCAACTTCACGCTCCAAGACTCCATAGAGCGTAAGACGACGGCATAAAACGCTCTAAGAACTCCATGCCACCAACAGCTTACTAGAATATTTCAAATTTTCAAGAATCAGAATATATACTAGAGCAGGAGCTAGCGTCTGCCAAAAAGGTCGGAAAACTCAAGGCTAGTTTTAAGGTTAAGCTCATGTTCTAAAGGCAGGAGACTCAATGTTGCCAACAAGTTAAAGGTCACTTTCAACATTTTCAATCATCAAAATATTTACCCTCGGAAGAACTAGCGTTCGAAAATAGATCCTGATCTCTCAACGTCGCTCTTCAAGGTCAAAGTCAGGGGAAAGTCATGGGAAGCCCCTTACCACTAACAGGTTACCGGGGCTGATTTCGGATGTTAAGGCATCAGAAAAATGTCACTAATATGTGAACTAGCCTCCGTAAAAAATCACGACTTCTCTAGCCCACCCTTCAATGTCAAATGAAGGCTGAAACGAGAAGAAACAAGAACAAATTAGCATATGGCAAAACGGCCAAGAGAAGGGTTCAGGAGACCAGAAGAATCCTCCAGAGTGGGTCTTGGTCGTTGCCTTGGAGAGTTTGCGCCCAGGAATCTCCGGGGCAGAGTGAGGGTGTGCGGTGCATCGGGAGTTGACGGGGAGAGAGTGCGGCGCATCGGGAGTTGACAGTGAGAGTGTGCGGCGCATCGGGAGTGGACGGCTTTTCATCGCGGGCAGGACGGTAACGACCCTGACCGCCCAACGACGACCGAGGACTCCAGTAGCAGCGGGAGGCCGATAACAACCCTCACGATGTGAGTCTTCAGAGCTGTCGCGCTTCATCCCAACCGGACCACGGACGGCTGCACGCTCCAAAGGCGTCCAATGATCCCTCCCCAACGGACGGAAAAGGAGCATGGTAGCTTGTTCCCTCACACGAAAAAGGGAAAGGGGCTCTGACCACGCAACCCTCCCTGACCAATATTGCATCACGGGGCGAGAGGCGAAGCGACCCTGAAATTTCATAATTAAGGCGTTGATTGGGGGGGGGGGGGGGGCATGCGCAATATGTTCTGCGTGAAGACTTGAAGGCTGTTACGTGAATGAGTGTAAATGACTGAAAATACAGGTGATTAACTGCAGCTGCCAAAAAGTAGTAATTGGGCGTGGTCACGAGTCAGAGCGAGCCAGACGACAGCAGTCCTCTCGCGCATATAAGTGTTTGATGGGCAGCGCGATTCGACGGCACGATTTCGTTCTCTTCTTGGACTGAGAGACGGTTGGCTCGTTTCGTTTCTCTCCCTTGACCTCAGGTGTGACGGCCTGAAGACGCATAGGTCATGGTATGACCAAAGGCCAGCTCGAACTGTCCGAGATGCAGGGTTACGCACGGCAGGAGTGAAAAAGTGCCTTTTCTGACACTGACGAAATTTAGAGCCGTCCGCATTGTCACCTGCGGTCAAATCTTTCAGAAGCTGTCGCAATATATCTCTAAATGCAGTAAACCACAAAAAGCAAAGCCAAGTGAAAAGCAATACGGCATAACCATGAAACATTCTCGTTTCGGGAGCTCATTTCTAGTAAAGTTTCATTCGCTGGTCATCAAAAACTGCATGAAGGTTGAGGGTAACCTGACCTAATTATCAGATAAAGGCATACTTAACATAACTAGCCTAAAGGCGTGTAGTTTCCTATTCGGTCAGGGGGGGGGGGGGGGAGATGCGGGATTGTGCCTCCTAGCCAGGGATGCAGTTTCCTATTTTACTTTAATTTTTATCCATGGTTTTTAATTATCCTAATTTTTGGGCTTCGCCCCCCAAAAACTAATTTCAAGGAGCTATTGCCTATTGCTGCCAAATTCAGTCAAATCTGGGTAGAAAGAGTGTTTTAAGTGCATTACGGAGGCAGGCCCAACCATTTTTTCTTCCGCATTCCTGTGACCCTACATTTACCCATAGCATGGTCCTTCAAGCACCTGAAACAATGTCACTTGTTTCCGTGACGTCATCCCACAGTCAGCTGAAGGCATTGGCGACCTTCCTTATCTTGGCATTATCATTGCCGGTGCGGAACTCGCACTTCCTAACACGATCCCAGTTATTCAGAGCAAAACCCATACAATATTCGTATCAAGAAATGCAAATGACATTTCTGAACACCTCTAGCAACTCCACTTGGCTTTTTACACAATACGATTACGACTAAAGCGTTTTATTACATGCATGTCCAACGATCAGTGCGCTAAGTCTAAGGTGCAGCGGGCGATGCGAGAGCCGTACACCAGCGATGCTCGGCCGCTTAGCCTCGGCCTCAGAGCCGCTGCTCCTCTCAGTAGCACAAAGCCCCGGATGAATCATCGACATGCGTGGCTCCAGCGACCTCCGTTTACCTCTGAAGCTACAGCTGAGGTATCCACAAACAATCCTAGATCGGCAGGGCTTTTCAACGCTATGTTTAGCGTTAAAACTGACGATTAGCTACATCCTTCTAGCCAGTAAGCTTCTCACGACATGAACACAACCAACAGCGGCGCATAGCCTTGCACTGAACCCAACGCGTTACCGCCTGGCGAGCAATCAAGCCCATATGTCTTAAATGGTGCGGCGCATTAAAACGCTGGGTAGCAAACTGATCACGTTCGTCGCAAGATGCTGCGCCCAGCCACGATTCTTACGATTAGTAATAAGCCTAGTTATTCGGCATTTTATACTGTTAAGTATGTGACGTGAATCTTGGCTGAAAGATCTGTGAAAAGCGCAGATCTGAGGGACGTTGAAAAAAACACTGTGTCACCGTTGATTTGTGACGTCAGCACAGATATAGTATAGTTTGTAAAATGTTTATGTCACCCGCTAAAAGCTCTTCTGATTAAAGATACTGTATTTGGCAGCATTTTATGGCTCAAGCTGCTCACACAGCGAAACGTTAACGTTTCGACATGCACTCACGCTGCAAGTGTTAGCTGGTACAGACCATTGCTAGGCTTTGAGTTTCATCGAGCTGGGAAAAGGTGTCGTAATATGGTCTTGTCTGTTGAAATTTATTTTCATTTTTATATTTTGTCACCAATTCGTTTGCAAAAGTGTCAGTATTTGTCTCCGATCGTATCCGGCAAATCAAAAGCTTTT